GTGACCTACTGTGGATATTATCTTCCCGCAAATTAAACAAAACAAGTTTTCATTTCGTATTGAGGCTTCGCCGCAGTGCGCGACAGTAGTGTGGCGCGGCCTCTTGCGTGGTCTGCGCGAGCCTCACGTCTTTCCTGCTTTGTTTTCAGCTTGTTCGTACTTTATGTTTCCACTTGTTAGACTTTGCCTTGAGGGCTTTGTGCTAGTTTTTTATGTCCCAGTTGAAAGCGTCCATCCCAATATGTCACACAGAGATCGAGCTAATGTTGCGATTACGTGATATCCTCTATTTTATCGAGTGAATTTGTATCTGCATTTTCGAAGTGACCTTTCCGTAGTATGCTTATTTTTTAGAACCGATAGACAGTGCATATACGTAAGTTCCTATTTTCACAGTTGTCTTAGTAATTCTAAGGCATTCTTTGTGATCATTATCATTCGCGTAATAACCTGGTTATCCCTGAAATGAACGGGAGTTTTCATTTTAATTGTAACTTTGCTTATTTATACGGGATGCCAGATACGATTAACATGCATAATACCTGAGGCATTGCGACCTCAACCCTGGGAAGAAGAAAACAATGCCCGGCGACCTTTATCTCCGAAGTCACACAACGGAAGGAACGCGCTAGTTAAGAAGCGATCGTTTAAGTGTGTTTAGAAGACACCAACAAGTTATTTTTATGGGAGTGAAGAAGTACGTATTGTTGATTACCGTATTTTCCGGTGTAGAAGTCATGTTTTTTGTTTTTTTTTGCAAAACAATTCCCGGTGCCTTTTTTTTTTTTCGAATACATGGGCTCTGTGGCACCAGAAACCGAAAACGGGCAAAAATGGGCTCCATTTTCCCATTGTATTTTTCAGAAAATCACTTAAAAAAAAAAAAAAAAAAAGCTGTATTTTTTTTTTTTTTTGCGACACTTCGTATATTAAAAAAAAAAAAAATCCAGCTGACGCAGTGGTGGAGCATCGGGCTGCGGATGGTGAGGTGCTGGGTTCGACTCCTAATGGTGTATGAGTATATACTGGATCAATTTGCGTACATTGGTTTGCTTATGTTTCCACCAAATGCTTTGTCACTGCTCGGGTGTATGTATGCGCGGATACACGGACGGCGGGATAATTGCGGATGCCCCATTTGTGGGAGTATTGAGTGCCGCTATAATTTATAAAGTATTCCACGAATTAATTTTTTTTATGGATGTTTAGAAAGCGGTACGCTTGACCCCCTTTAATTGTGACGTCTGTATTTTCTCTGGTCAATTAAGCCAGTGCAGTGTCACTGCTAGCCTGTAATCCTTAATGTGCGTCACGTGGTCATTATCACAAACCTACTGGCCGGTACAACGCCCATTCGCATCAACGCTAGAAGAAGTTGAGATTGAACACATTAAGTCAGGTTGTGCTGCGCGACTTAGTGAAACCCCCTGACTGTAAACAAAAACTACCATCATTACAAATGCCAGGTTTATGCTTCGAAATGTGATTTCAATGAATGCGTCAGTTTCCCTGCCATACTAATAATATATTTATTTTTATTTTCATTTTTAAGTACTCTTTATTTGCACAAACATAGTCCTCTACCAAAATTACAAGACACATTGCTTCCATTTTTCAGACTTCTCGCAATGGAAAAACTCAATTATTAAAAAAAAAAAAAGTATTTGTGTCTGGTGGCTTAAAATGTAAAATTGTGACTAATTGCGGACAATGCACGTGCCTAATAATAAAATCCAAACAACCTTCTCTTCTTTTTTTTTTTTTTTTCGGATTGAAGATTACGCTTTAGTTTTGTTTTACGCGTCAACATTTTTTTTCACCAGCAGAATCCACAGCTTCGTTGATTGAGACGAAGAAAGGCAGCTCGAAGGCGAAGAAACAAGAGAAAGATGCACGGTTCCAGCAAAAGAAGCACGAGGAGAAGGGCAAGAAAGTCTCAAAGCCAGGATCTTTCGATTTGCTGCCATGGTGTTTATGTTCCAAAGGTAAGGGTATTGAACCAACTTAGTTAAAGCCAAGATGCAGGCGTGCTGGTTTATTATTAATATTTTAGCTCTCGAGAGTGAGGGGAGAGGGAACAAACACAAACACAAACATGAAGCTTCGTGTTTGTGTATATTGGCGAGACAAGAATCATATAAAACCACATTTCTGAGTTCTAGTTCTAACAGCCTACAGACTGTTCATACGTGACTTTAGGAACTTCGGTTTTAAAACCGCCCTGGTTCACGATTAGGCGAAATCGTGCCGATAACTACGGTGGTCTTCCGCCGTCATCTTGGTAAGTGTCTCTCTTAATTTAATATAGAGTCACAATGTGCATGCAAGTTTAGAGAGTTTTACTTATATCGCGTTTTGCGTTATCAAAAGCCGGCGTCTGTCAAAATTCGCTCTCCACTGCTCCATCCCCCCTTTTCTTTTTAACAGTCGAGAAGAACGGAATGTTTGTTTGAGGATTACGGCGAGAACAATAATGTCCGCATATGGCGCACGGACTTCACCCTAAAAGCATGTTTGCGAGTTAACTTTTGTGTAGAACAGAAATGCAGCTAATCACGGCGAATAGAAAGATCCCAGCGAATGAGAATACGGTTAGACAAGAAAACAAAATACGATGCAGGCAGAGACAATTAGCAAGTGAAACGTCATGCGCATTGTCCCGGCGCAGATCGCATTTAGCAGGTCTAATTATATTGTAAGCTTAGTCGTTCGCTGGGATGTTTATATTGTTCGCCGTGATTGGCTGTCTCCGCGTCCTGCAAGAAATTGAACTCGCATACCTTTTTTTTAGAATGCTAGAGAAAGGATTCTCATACTCACTAAAGTTTGTCTACCGTGTTACTTTGGTGAACACCTTACCTCCTTCAAATATTCAAACTTGTAGAATTGCAAGTCTCACTGCAAAAGCAGTTTAGAATGACACTGCCAACTGTAACGTCCTGCGATTGCAGCGGGACCTTGTGGTGTCTTACTTGCACCCATGCGGAGACGGTTTCCCACAGGAGCGCATCACAAGTCCAGCCTGCCCTATAGCAAGCCCCGGGAGCGGGGTCGACTGCCGTCCTTCTCCGAGGAGCCCCCGTCCCGAAGGCTCTCGACGGACATTGGGGCCCAGGAAGGGGGCTTCCTGGAGCACCTCTGCCAGTGCTCCGTCTGCCGCACGCAGATGCAGACCTGCCAGCTCCTCGCTCAGCTGGTCTGCGATGCGACCGGTGTCGCCGGTGAGCGCCAAACTTGGCAAACGCAGACAAACACGAGCAGACACAGATATATGCAAAGGGGAAAGCCGAAAGAACCCCATCCAATCCGATCCATTCCATTCTATAAGGTGGAACACCTTATGGATTGGATACATATTCCGTGTGCTGTCTCCATATGCATCTGGACATGAGCACGCAGGAGCGCTAACTTAAAGGAGCGGTGCAACGATATTCAATCGTTGCACTCTACACGAGCTTACTGGCACACCTGGGACTCAAGGATACTCACACGCAACGCCACTGGCCAAGAAACTCCTTTGATGCGGTGTAATTTCAACGACAAAAGCGATCATTTTCATTCCTTTGCAAAATTTGATGACGTAACGTGGGGATCGCAGTACACCCAAGTGATGATATTTGAATGCGGTTCATAGATTGGACCCGAGCATTGCGTGGGCACTCGACTTGGGCTCGTGATAATTGCTAGTTCGAGAAGCATTCGGGTAGTGACCCGTGTCCAATCGCTGCAACGACGACAACAGCCGAGCTATAACAATATCTGGAACTCAGCGCGTGTCCTGCGCTTTGCCAACCCCAGCGCGTGGCTGTGATCAACAGTGGCGGCATATAATCGGCTCCAGATCACGTGGCCGCTTGTTCTGGCTGCGAGTTGAGGGGGTGAAGGCTGCTCGTTTTAGAGCGCAGCTCTTAGGCGCCCGTTCCCGGCTTGAGCGGCGTCGCCGTCGGCGTCGGCGTAACCGCGCGGTGCATTATGGGTAAATTTTCCCGCTAAATATAGCGGAAAAATTTCCCCGCTAAATTTAGCGGAAACATTTCCCCGCTAGATCTAGCGGAAAAATTTCCCCGCTAAATCTAGCGGAAAAAATTTCCCCGCTAAATCTAGCGGAAAAATTTACCCGCTAAATCTAGCGGAAAAAATTTCCCCGCTAAATTTAGCGGAAAAAATTTCCCCGCTAAATCTAGCGGAAAAAATTTCCCCGCTAAATTTAGCGGTAAAAATTTCCCCGCTAAATCTAGCGGAAAAATTTCCCCGCTAAATTTAGCGGAAAAATTTTCCCCGCTAAATTTAGCGGAAAAAATTTCCCCGCTAAATCTAGCGGAAAAAATTTCCCCGCTAAATCTAGCGGAAAATTTTTTCTGGGGGTCACGTGACCCCCTTAGGTCACGTGACCCCCACGTGACCTTGGGGAGGGGATGTGACCCCACCAAGGTCACGTGACCACCCCCCCTCGAGGTCACTTGACCCCCCACCCCCTGAAAACACGTGAACCTCAGTACCCTTCCCTCCTCCTCCTCAAGAGCTGCGCTCTAATTCGGCGTTACAGGGAGTTGTAAACGGCTTTCATTTTTTCTTTAATTTTTTTCTGGGACTTCTATTGCGTGGGGTGAAAAACGAACGCGTGTTTCATGGGTCATTAACGTTAGGGATCCGTTTTAAGTGGTATTTGCGCAAAGTACAAAAATTGTTGCATCGCTCCTTTAATATTGAACTTTTGCGTCCGCATGAAAAAGTCATCATCGTATAGTTTCTGAAGTCAGAAGACGCGCGAATGCCAACAGTTTGCTCTAGTACCAACATGTTGTTTAAAGCAAACACTCTGTCCGTGTATATAACCGACAAAATGTCCGTTGTTTCAGCAGGTCCACGCTCGCAAGCCTCCGTACCGCTAGGCTTCGGCGTCTACCAGTACCAGCAGCAGCAGCAGCTGCAGCACACCAGAGCGGCTTTTGAGCACTCCAGTCCACCCGCCTTTCAGGAATCGTTTGATAGCTGCCAAGAGGAATACATTATGACGCAAGAGGAAACGTCCAAGGCAACTACGTTCTGTGACGAGGAGGATGACTCAACCTCAGGCTCTGGTACGCTATTTATTCACTCGCACGTTGACATTAGAGAGTTTTAGTATTCCGTATAGCCTATAGGAGCAAACGCAAGCGCTGTGCGTTTGCGTTAGCGTTGCGTACTCCACGAAGCGTATGCCCATCGTAGCCATGCGCCAATCCAAGGCCGCAGTTTGGGTTCCGCGCACGCGCAGTGTGGAGCACGCAACGCTAACGCAAACGCACACTGCTCAGTGCGTTCGCTCGTATACGCGATACTAAAACTCACTAGTGTTAGTATTGCATACCGTATACACAGTGCGGAAAAATGACCAACTCTCGCGGTGCTGAAGGTTTTCGAAATGCATTATGCGATGCAGCATATCGTGGAGTTCAGGTGAGGACCAAGCCTTTAAAATAAAATAATAAAATAATAATAAAAACATTAGTGTCATGACAGAATAAAAATATATTATAATATAAAACAAAATAAGTTAATATTTAATGGGATAGAAAAATGTCGTGGTGCACTATCAGATACCTCCAGCAGTCGTTCTGTAAACACTGGGACTATAGTGCTTACTTTAGTGATCCGGGAAAAAATACGCTCAGAGTTTTGCGAAACTATATATATAACTTTTTTTTTATCCAACCGATGACTATGAAGTTTTTACGGCGATAACTAATTTAATAGGGGTGAGCAAGTAATCGATTCGCTTACCGATTAATCGATGAATTATTCAATCGCGATTACTTCTTTAACCGGTCAATCGGTTGAAACTACAAAAGAAGAAAAAAAAAACAAAAAAACAACTAAACATGCAATGCTTTCACCACGCAGAAGTGGACGAGTACACCTGTATGAAGGTAAACTTCAGTTGAAATTTTTACCTAAAGTAACCTGCAGGGGTGAGATTTGCAATTCTAAAGTAATACGTGTCCCAGCCCCTTCAACGCCGTGCGAGGGTCTGTTTAGCGCAGCAGAGGCTGCTGTAAACAATCAAGGGAGTTCGCTATTGCCGGAGCATACCAACGAACCTCATTTGCTTCTGCGGCTGAAGTAATAATTTGGGAGTATGGTTGTCTTTTGCCTGTTAGCAACTACACATCAAGGTTGATTTAAAATCCGAAATTGTACCGCCGCTTATCATATTCAGCAAAAGCAAACAAATTGATTTTGAGAAAAAAATTGTATGCGTGTGAATGAAATAAACCAACTAATTAATTAATTAATCCATTAAAGGTTGGCGATTAATCAGGTTAAAAATTTTAATCAACACCAAGCCCTTATTTTATGCAGCAATTACTGTTCATAACAGTAAACGTGCTGAACTAATTGTTATTAACATAATTTTTCCTTGTTTAACACATGTTTACAGCTTTGCTCTTTCATCGAGAGTGTTTCCCATGGGTATGCGAATCGCAAAAGTAACTGTATCAGCAACCGTAGCAACTCATGGCAAAAGCTAGAATGGTATAGGGCCTATATCTATTCTTGCCGACTTTTTCTATAAACTTAAAAAAAAATTATATATATATATATATATATATATATATATATATATATAAATTTTTATTAAAAATAAAAAATGAATAAAAATAAGAAAGGGGCCTGACGTCAGGCTCCTTTCTTATTTTTAATTCTTTATTTTATTCTTCATTTAACAATTTATTTTTGTAAGTTCTTGTGTTTTAACTTTGCCTTTTACTCCGTCCTTTTTAAAAGTTTCTTTCCCGCGTAATTAGCGTTCTTTGTGCCTAGTCTTCATTATTCCAGTAAACTAATACAACTTTTTTTCGGCACTTCACCCTTTTTTCTTGCGTGACTTTTTTCGCCCTTAAATTAGAATTTTATTTTTATCCTACGGCTGCTGTGTCTGCGCACATTACTTTTGCCTATATATATATATATATATATATATATATATATATATATATATATATATATATATATATATATATATATGCACCGGAGTTTCTTTTTTTTTTTTGATAAGCATATAATTTAAGTCAGCTGGGTCTAAACTATAGCAGAGAAACAAACTTATTCTTGACAACTTCTAAAGAAAAAAAATATTGTCAGTTATAGGTATCTTCTTTGACTTTAGCAATGCGCTCGACTGTCTCGAGCATGATATTAATTTGGGCGTCCCTTTAGCGCTGTTTTATTTTTTATAATAATGATACTCTTTTCACTCTAAAAAAGCCCGTGCGTCTGCTTTCCCGCTCAACACTCAGAGAGCCAATCAGCGCAACTTGCGGTGGCAGCTCAGTGAATGACGATGCCAAAACATATGTTTAGACTAGAAAACGTAGTCCGAGTTTTGACATTAAGCAATGCAAGCGTGACGTTTTGCATTGCTTAATATGTCCCAACTCAGACTACGTTTTCTGGTCTAAACATATGTTTCGGCATCGGCATTCGCTGAACTGCCTCCGTAAGTTGCGCTGATTTGCTCTCCGAGTGTTGTGCGGGAAAGTAGACGCACGGGCATTTTTTAGAGTGTTTAGATAAACTATTTTCATATGACTTTTGAGGTGTTCAGCTTTTTCCTCAAATTGCTACTTTTATAATTGTCGCCAATACGTTTCCATAAATGAGCATAGGTCCTTTCTGCTCAATAAAAATTTCGTTGTTTTCCAAGCAAGTATTTTAAGTCCACTTTCAATCATTTCTTATATATACGGTATCGGTGCTATCGACTCTGATGTCAGATTTTTTATTTACGCAAGCGATAAGAGCATTGTTACTTCTGGTACAAATGGATAACATCTTATTAAGAAAACGAATAGTGTCCTCTCCAAATTAAGAATCTGGTGTGAAAATAACACCATTCATATACGTAAGTACTAGCAAAAGCAAGGCGTGATATTTAACTGCATATATTCAGGAAGTCAATAAAACTTATGCATTCCGTTGAAATATGGCCCCGATATTATTCAGCATGTTGTCAATGTTAAAAATACTTGGCGTATTCTTTCTTATTACATGTTGGCATGACACGTTGCAGTGATTTGTACTAAACTTCAAAGCAAATAATAGGCATAATAAGTAAATGGCGTATTATCCCTACTACTATCAAACTTCAACTTTATACATCACTTTTCTATTCCAACCTACGCACTCGCATGTAATGTGGAGATTTATTGGTTTAATGTATGCTCAGATTGTCGCAGAAAAAAAAAAGCGATCTTTGAACAATAGCAAATGTCCTCTCCACCTCCTCGTCACTGCCTTTCTACCAAAGTATTTATTCAATAATCATCAAAGATTTATTATCAATGATTCGTACTAACATACCAGTAAGGTAACTTCGAAACATATCTCAGCATCGTTAATCTTCATTTGCAGATTTAAATTAATCAGACCCGTCAGATACATCCATGGCGTATTCCCCATTCACTAACCAACTTTGGACGGCAAAGAGTTAAGCATACACTTCCTAAATAATTGCGACTTGTCGCATGACTAGAAACTGTTGCTACGTACATCGCTCAGCAAAAATGACACGCCCAACATTCCCTAGTGTGCACACCGTTTGTTTGTTTTGACTGATGTGTTATTGTCATCTTTTATGCGCACTCGTTTTGTTGTTCCTTGCCTTGTAGGGTTACCGAAGGCTAGTGAAGCTGCATGAAAACAGCTACCCCGATTCCTGACGATACAAATTAAGCAATGTTTGTATATTTCGATGAAGCGCGCTATAGTGCCTGCCAGGTGGAGGTCGAGGAAAACTGTTTGAGACAATATCCACGTGAAGATTGAATAAATTAAGAAGTCAAAATAAAATTCGTTGTGTGGATGTCCTCGTTGAAATTGAGTGTTATATCTCTGCCGTTACACGGCAGTTTTACCAAAGCAGAACGAATGCAAACCCAGCACGTATCACGCGGTAGTGATTACGCGAATTAACACCTGTGCAGCGTCTATCCAAACCGGAACCAAGAGTTGCTGGGAGTTAAAACACATATTCTAAACTGTTTAAAAATATGAAAGGCTTAGTTTTTTGTTTTTGTTTTTTCTCTCTAGAACAGGCTAGAACACATAAGAAAGCAGATCGTCCGTATTGGATTGTGTCGTCAATCCAAGTATGTTTCTGGAAAGGTTAATCAAATTAATATTAAGAGGGAAGGTCAGCTTCCGGCGCTCAATGCATTTACCACGGGGAATACACATTGGACACCAGTATTATGCCAGTCTCTGACTTTTGGCGTTATAGATTTCCCCTTCCATGTACGCATTTTTGTTGCGCCGCTTTGCTATAGTCTACCATTTTGTTAATATTGAGTTACGCAAGGTCAATTTTTGTGTTATTCATGACGTTCAAGGGAGGCCACGAATGCACGTTAGTCTACGTACATGTCAATCAAAAGTAGAACCAGTATACTCCGTTTTACACGCAAACCCAATTCACAAGGTGTGATTTTGCTTGCGAATTCTCAGGTGCGACGTCGGGCACAGCAGCTTACCCCAGGCTTTTTTTTTTGCCGCACGAGTGACAGCGCAACTGCGAAATCGCGAGAAAATTCGCACCATGTAAATCAGGCTGCGGCGTCGAGCACCGCAGCCTCCACAGCTCATTTTGCTTCACGAGCGACGTCGCGACCGCAAAATCGCAAGTAAAATCGCACCATGAATTGGGCTTCATTCACATGGTGCACTTTTACTTGCGATTTTTGCAGTCGCGACTTCGCTCGTGCGGCAAAAAAACATGCTAGAGGCTCTGCTGCGGAATGTCGCAACTGCGAAATTACAAGAAAAATTGCACAGTGTGAATCAGGCTTTCATGTAAAGAGCCTGATTAACATCATGCCATTTTGTTTGTGATTTCGCAATTGCGACATTAAGCACCGCAACTACCCTCCTCCCTTTTTTTCCCCCTTTCGTTTTTGTTTTTAGGGTTTTGCCGCGCGACCGCCGTCGCAGCCGCGAAATGAAAGAACACGACGACGTTTTCAGGCAATAAACGCCATTCTTCCTGCCCTTTTGAAAAAATAGGATTTTTCAAAGTTCCCTGATATTATTCAGCCAGATTTTC